CTGTACATGCAATACAGATCAATGTTTAAGTATTTCCCCCGACCCCAAATTCATGTTAATTTTACAAAAGTAACCCCTTACATAAGCAACTTGCATCTGAGTGGACTTTCCACTTGACTCCCAGTACCCGAGTGCCAAATTCGGCGTTTTGTTTGCAAAACTAAAGCATGCGAAAAAGTGGAGTAACCTGCCACCTACCGGACAGATGGCAATATTACATGTTTCTCTGACAATCGGAGTAATTGAACAATTCCTGACCAGATCAACTGCAGCGTTTCCTGAAAGGCAGGTAAGTAATGTAAATTGGAACCTGCAAAGGAGTTAAAGAAAGCAACAGTTCCTCGGATTTCCAATTTTTATGTGCATAAAGCATTCTCGGAGATGATTTGAGTTTGTGATAATGAGTAAGGGTGTCGCAGAGTGGCACAGTGGTTAGCATTGCAGTGCTGGGGCTCTGGGTTCAATTTCAGACCTGGGATGCTGTCTGTGTGGAGTTTGTATGTTCTCCCCATGTTCACCTGTGTTTCCTCCCACAGTCCAAAAACGTGCAGGTGGGTTAATTGGCTTAAAGGAACATTGGCCCAGGTGTGAGTGAACGTGTTTATGTCTGTGTCTGTGTGTGCCCTGCCTTGGACTGGTGTCCCCTCCAGGGTGTACCCTGCCTCGAGCCCTTTGCCTGCTGGGATAGTCTCCGAATTAGACCCTGAATTGGAAGAAGTGGTTACAAATTGGATGGATAATGAGTTACTCTCCACTGACATATCTGAACTTATACTTCCAGTCAACCTATTTCTGATATGAAATGTGCTACAGCATCCTCACCCATGAACTATTCTAACTTTTACTAAATAAACATCTGGTCATCACTTTGATCCTTTGAGTTTTTGAGTCTTATTTTCACCCCAAAGACATTTCTGAAAACATTGTCCCTCTCAGTGATTTTTGTGAATATAACAGTCCTAAACAGACTGTTGACTACCAATGACTACTGATGTATGCAGCGGAATCTGTAAAATGCAAAAGGAAAGTAAAAGGAATTAAGTTATCTTTTTTCTAATAAAGACATCACCAGCCCCACATTGTACTGAATTTCAATGTTTTAATTAATGTCAATACAAACTTGAACTCTCATTTAAAAATATTCTAGTTATATGACATTTTAATTCCACAAAATAAGACCTCCAGTTGTTTGATGTGTTTTAGCTTTTTATGTATGAGCTCGTTTCACAATCGACTCAGCAGGTGATCAATGAAGAAGCTGTTTCTGTGTACTGTGGTAAAGGGAACCTACCCTCCAAATTCCCCAGGATGAAGATAAACCAAGGAAGTTTACAAACAGCCCTCTGGACTCGTCCCCATCATGACTGAAGGGATAAAAACGCTTCATTTTAATAACACAGGATATCATATTTTCAGTCAAAACCAGTTTCAATGGTATTCAAAAGTGGCTTTACAGTTTCAAAAGTGTAAAAAATATTCATATTACCAACCATGTCGTAAGAATACAGAATAAGGTGTCTTAATGTAGTTTAGAAATAGGTCCAAAGGCAAAAGGATCCAAAATCTGTGCAAAATCATTATTCTGAAGCCCCGCCTCTCTCTTCCGACAATCCTGAACGTCCTTGGCTTGAAACAACCAGTCTCTCTCTCCCCGCCGGCCCTGCGCTCAGCCGCCGGACCACGGTGCCCAGAGCCACGCGTTCCCGGCGCACCGGACGCGTGAAACCCGGAACAGCGCGGCCCCAGCTCGCCGCCTCGCGCCAGGCCCGGCCAGTTCCGGCACCGCCCCGCCGGACCCACAGCGCTGGAAAAAAATGACGGGACTCGGCTGCAGGGACCAGCTGTTCCCCGCTTTCCCTTGCCAGGGCGGGTTTCTGGTTACAAAAGAAACAGAGCACCGCTCTGCGTCGTGTTGGCCTGCGCTTAACGCTTGAAGAATCGGACAGTAACGGGGAGAAGCAACGATGACTGCAATTATCTCAAGCTAAACTCTTCAGTTCTTTTCCCCCCAAAGCGCCGCAGCTCTGAAGTTGTTTTGCTTATTGAATCGGGTCAACCACAATGCACCCCGAAACAGACAAGAAGACGGGGTGCAAGGAACACCATTACTTTTCACAAAGGCGCCGGGGGAGAAGATGTAGATTTACACTTGCCCCACTGCCCTGTTCTTCGTTCTGTTTCGTCCGTGAAACGCGACGAGCAGCCGTCTCTGCTGTCGTGTCCCCTCCGCTCCCTTTCAGGGTGCAAGTCCAGCCCTGGCAACCACTTGCACAGTAAATGGATTGAAAAAGGACAATCACCTTTTAAGAACTTCTTTAAAAAAATATAAATTAGTAGAGAGGTTATGTTTTGTTAAGAGTATACACTCACTGTAAGATTAATGTGTATTGTACAGTAGAGTTGATTTTGAATTAAAAAAATAAAAGTCAAGTAATTTTAGCTTTTGACTACTCCCTCACCTCTGCTTGAGAGAGAGAGAGAGTTGCACAGCCTCCCAGTACCATCGCTCCTGCTTTGAGAGACGGGCGGGCTGGCTGGGCGCGTCACCGCGGCCACACGTGACCGGCTCTAACGAGGCTCGGAGAAACGCGTGCCCGTATTCCGGCTAGCCCTTATTTTCTGAGAGTTGCGAGTCGCAACGATGGCAGTGCAAAGCCAGGGCACTGGTAGCGCTGTGACATTGGAGCTGTTCGTCTTCAGCACCTACAAAAAATCCCGGTAGGGCCGCATCGGAAGACGTCACACATGCACCTGTGACGTGCAGAACCGATGACGTCACACGTGCGTTTGTAAGGCGATCCGGGGCAGCCAATGCACACGGACTGAACAAGCAATGTGATGGGATTTAAGAGACTTGATGAAAAGGTCATGCTGCCCTCTACCGTCCAGTGTAAGGGTGCAGCGGGCAGGTCCCGTGTATTTCTGTTCCCCGAGACCGCACTTGAAGGCGGACAGCTCCCGGCTTGCTTCAGCAGTCCGAGCTGTCGGACAGATCGCGGGAAACCGAAATAAACTCGTTTTTGATTTTTGATCATAATTCGTAAGGCGACATGTTTTAGCCTAGGTATCGCATTTGCAATAAAAAGCCCTTGAGTCAGGGAGAGAGGAGGAGACAGCGGGGTTATGGCGGGCTGATCTGGAAAATAATACAACCCCCCCCTTATTTACACTCTTAAATTAAAAACTGCTGCAGGTTTCATCCAGTAGTTCCTTTTAAACAACACGATTCTTTCCTAAAAGCTAGAACAATCCCTATGATCTTTAGACACAGGGCAAAAATAGACAGTATTCCCATACTTGTCTCTAAAAAAATAGAATAATATAAAAGTAACAAAATACTAAATCATTTATGCTCATTATTTGCTGATCAACAAATGTATTACAATACTTATGCCTTAATAGAGTCTTTCTCCGCAAAACGTTAAACACGATGTATCGCTGTAAAACGGCCCCTAGGCAGATTCTATGACAGCCTATTTGGGCGATCGGTGCCGTTATGATGGCACAGCACTAGTCAATCTACAGGAAATCTCACCTTATCTACATTCAGCCAAGATTTCTATCTGAAGGCGCTGCAGACGGCAGAATCCCACGCAGCGTGCCGCGCAGCGAGTCTCTGGGGATGACGTCTGCTGTTCGCCAGCACTGGCGGCCTCTAGCGACAGGAAAGCGAGGCGCTGCTTCTAAGCCCTCTGCTGCAACAACTCGCTTTAACCCATCAGCGTCAAGACAACAGAGTTGATCGATTAAAGTGAGTGTGTGTCTAGCTTTTGACGCGAGCCCAGATTCCTCATTCTGGGCACACTGAGGAAAGCGGCGCTGCCTTCCACTAACATCAAGCTGTTCTGTAGTTAAACCGCTTGAAAAGGGAAATCTGGATCTCTAACTACATAAGGGGATGAAAGAGAGGCATACAAATGGGATCAGGAATATGATGTGTACGTCAAGCTGGTAAACAGAACATGTGATCACTGCTGTTGTCCTGCTTGCAAGAGCTGCTATACAGCCTTTTTTTCCTCAAGCTACGCTGAAACAATTTCATCCGCAGCACACTGGAGTCCCGAAGGAACACGTTCTCCAGATAACAGCGCTCTCCGAGTTTAATTAAAAAATCGAGGCCAGCTGGGGAACTCGGGTGAGAGAGCAGAGCGATATAAAAAAACAATTCGGGTTTGTTTACGTTAAACGCCCCCCCGCCTAGGCGGGCTGCATACTCATCACAATCTCTCTGCGAGCAGGAAGGGAAGAGCCAGCGTCTGCTTCCGCAAGGCGGAGGGAACTCGGGGTCACGCTGCCTTCCCAGCATGCCCGTTGAGCGCCCTCTTGCGGTCCTGCCAGCGGCGGTACTTGGCGCTGCTCTTGCGGTAGGCGAAGCGGGCGATGTTGGCCATGAAGACCCAGGAGAGGGCGTACATCGCCACGCCGCCGGCCTTCATCGCCAGCCGCGGCCGGGGGGAGGCCAGCTCGCAGCACAGCATCCAGGAGCCCAGGCCGACGCGCACGCCGGCAAACAGCACCACGAACAACAGGTCCACCAGGTCGCCGGCCGGGCCCTCGTAGCGCCCCGCCTGGCGCAGGAACCAGCGGGCCTGCAGGAGCGGGTTGGTGATCTCGCTGCCGAACAGCACGGCGCAGACCTCCAGCCCCGACTCGCCCAGCCACAGCGCCAGCATGATGCCCAGGATGCTCACCGTGTGGTGGGCCAGCATGACGGCGCCCTCCGTCCGGAAGTAGAGGCACCAGCTCATGTCAAACAGGAAGTAGCCCAAGCTCAGGCACATGGCCCAGGCCTGCAGAGGCGTGTTCTCCGAACCTGCCGGAGAGAAGACACAAAGACGCACTGAGAACACACCAGGCACCATCTCGCCTTCTTGTTTGTTAGTAGCCAATTCATCCCGGGTCCTCATCCAGCCCTTTCTTGACAGAAGCTCCAAGTTGCATGGCTGGGCAGCTTGTTCCATACCCCCACAACCCTTTGGGCACAGGAGTGCCTCCTGTTGCTGGTTTTAAATGCGCCATCATGTGGTGCCCACTTGTGGCCCCTGGTGAGTGTTTCACCTTTCATGCTGTGGATGTCTGCTGGGTTGACCTTGGCAGCCCCTTTGAGGATTTTGAAAGCGTACATCCAGGCCCTACGAAAGGGGGGCTCAGCAGGGCCCAGGCCTCACCTCACCCAAGGGTGCATGGTCTTCCACTTTAACCCTTTGGCTGTGTTCCTCGACTTGAGTCAAATTTGGAACTTTTACCGTGTACTGTGATTCTCGACTCAAGTCCACGGCTGTAAAAAAATGTCCCCCTTTCAGTGCTGAATCTACCATTCCTTAAGAGTTTCAAAACGTCCGCCCTAATCGTCTAATCATGCCATTCTTTACATTTAAATAATTTTTTTACCACTCTCCTCAAACAATGAGGGGGCCTCACAATGTGAAATGGCCTGGGCCTCCCCTGAGCTCTTGGAGGGCCTGCTTACATCAACTCCCCTTGCTCTCTCTGCTCAGGCCTAAAAAGGCTCATCCCTTCAACCTGTCAGTGTAGCATGTAATGTAAGAGGTCTCTTGGTCTCTTTTTCACATCTTTGCAATTCTTAAAAACTTGCAAAGAGCCCGCATTTTGAACTGCCTGCGACAGTGGATTGTGTGGTATGCTGATCACAGGGAGCTAAACTCAAGAAAGCACAGGCAGGCACTCTTCAGCTTCTATGACTCCTCGCCAAACAGGAAAAGCGTTCCTGCTATAACAACAATAATCAGTGAAACAAATGATCAGTGGATGCTGCAGAAACAGAGGCACTGCAGGTGTAAATCTAGAGTGGTGGTGATTGTTTCCTCTGAGGTCCCGCAGGAGACCATCCCCGACGCGCTGAGCCTACCTGGGCTGGTAAAGGGCCAGGGGCCATCGACGAAGCCAATGTAGGCGGTCAGGCAGACAATCAGGACTCCGTGGAGCAGCGTCACCAGCCTGCAGTTCCACTCGTAGCCGTGGCGATCGTCGAGGTGACAGAGCGAGGCGTAAAGGGCGATCCAGCCCATCAGGCTGCAGGACACCTCCAGGAGCAGCGATGTCATCTCCTGGCTAAGCAGAAGGAGCCCCACACGCGGGAACGCAAGAAGAGATTCTCAGCAGCTGCTAGAGAAACCCTCTGAGGGAGGAGCTGTAATTCCAGTTCACCTTCTGAAACAGTCCCACAGGTACCTGAAGAAAGCACAGCAAGCAAACAGCATTTCTTTTGCTTTTTAATTTCTGTTTTCCTTCCTAGATGTCCCTTACCCTCGTAGCCATACCTTTTCCTACATTGCACTTTCTGCATTACTGTTTCTAATATATTTCAATTTTGCTTTCAGTTACACACAACATCTTACATTTCTTCATAATTCGTGAAGTCGGTGCTGCTTCTCGACCTCAGGAGACTATTGGCCTGCGTGCTGTGTTTTTACAGCCACCTCGCTTCACACTCCCAGCGGTCATCAAGCAGCATCCTCCTGTCAGAGCCAAGGAGATGGCAACCGACTGGCTGTCTTCTTCCGAAACGCAGCGTGAAATCCAGCACTCGTCCCCAGAGCGGCCTGTTGGCTCTCCTCACACGCAGGACACACAGGTGGGCACCTGAGTGGACCTTCTGAAGCCTGCAGCCACAGCCCTGAAGAACGTTTTCAGCCCCTTATCAAAAATCCTAGAAGCTTTGACATCCTGCTGCATTAGTAGCTGACCAGCCTCTTCTCCTCCATCTCCAGTTCGTAAATCAGAGTGTGTAAATCCTCTGTTTCTCATCAGCGTCTTGGTGCCACATCATTTTTCAAGGAAGAATACTGTTCTTATTTTAGCAGATAAGCACCTCACCCTGTTAGCTCCAGCGTTACAAGCACTGTAAGAAACTTACAGCCACCACCAAATTAGATTACTCCTCAACCTCCCTACCCCCACACCACATGTAACACCCTAAGCAGGGTAATAAGATTACTTACTATCAATACACGATGGTATAACGTAAATGCACTTTCAGGCAGATACTTGCTTTGCCAAGCCCGTCTCTTCGCTAACACAACTGCTCTGAGAGACGAGGAGAGCAGCGGGCGAGATGAGCCGCTTCTGAAACCCGCTCCAGGGTTCTGGAAAGCACTCAGCGCTGGGAACAAATCCCTGCCCTTCGCCCTCCTTCGCCAGGGTTGGAAAACATCTCAGAAGGCATGTTGAAACGACAGACACTGGCCAGCTGGAGATACTTTTCGAACTGGTTCAAAACTGGAGCAACAGGCTGTGTAGCAGAACTACTGGCATTTCCCGAAAGCTGTGTCTTAGAGGGGGGGTGAAATACTCTTAAATGTTTGAAATTGGCCGTCTAGAATTGGCAATCAACAGCTATAACAGGAAAAGCCACTCGTTACCCTGGAAGTACTAATTTCCTACAGGATGGTGAACCTAGAGTGTGAGATACCTCAACAAAGTCCTTTACAGTGGGTCTCTGCTCCCAGGCACTGATCACTATGTGACAGAGTAGAAATAAGGAAAATGCACAAGGAAATGATTAATGGAAGTGAAGAGATATATCTGGTCATTTTTGTATTGGCAGTAAGGTGATAACCACTGATGATAATTAGAGCAAAACAAGATAATGCATAATAAAAGTCACAAGTTTGGGCACTTTCAGACTTATTGGTCTGTTTTTGAGATGCTGGGGAAGGGGACTCAGATAACACGAGGATCCAGTCTATTGTGATAAAGGCCCTCCAGGTTCGATATTGTATTGAAAAGGTCACACAGCAGTTGCAGTTCCAGTTGGATTATCTATATACAAGTGGAATTTTGCAGGCTGAGTATAATCCGCACCTTAATTTGCCAAATTATCAGGAGAAGATGTCACTTGGCCCGGAGGCACAATATGTTTTAGAGGGAAAACAAAAAGGTACGTGTGCTTTTCACTCAGCGTACGGGGGGAAAAAAACGTTAAATGAAGCAAATTTCATGCCAGAGCAAAAACAGCTCTGGAAGCAATCGTGTGTGTTTTCATTGTTGGAATGCCACGACATTAGCACAGACATTCTGGTATTAAAAACAGGGAGTGAACAACCGGAGACATGACTTCAAGAAATATTGCAACCACAACAGTACCGTTTTTCTTTCGGGAGCTACGTTATGGCTCAGTTATCAGCATATATTTCAGGTCTTCTAACGAAGAAGCACAGGAGGTGAAAAACAGGAAGAATCACTGTTTAAGAATGCTGGAAGAACCTTGTGAACTTGATTTAGACGGTCAGTTAAGGAGAATTGACAGCAATCCAGCTGGCTGTCCGCTTGCACAACAAGGGGCTGGAAGAGAATGAGCTGCAGCCCGCTGTCTGTACTCCAGGGTCACCCAGTCCACAGCAGGAGTGGCCAAGGAATGGCGTTCCCGAAAAGCACGTGAAGGACGACGAGAGCCACTCCGATTCTGCCAGACCAGGAGAGCCGGTATCGCATCCCCGCGCCAGCACCGGGCCGCAGACGAGCGCGAGGCCGAGGGCGCTGCCCCAGGGGCAGGCGCCGCGCTGACACTCGTTCGCTGTCGGTTTACACGTTGGGAGAAGGAAAGGAACTGGGGGGGGTTGATCCAGTCCAAGCCCCCTCCCAAACTAGGACAGGCCTGCTAGGTCGAGCGGGCCTGAGTCTGCCCAGCAGGGCTTCGGTTTGACAGGGATACAGGCCTGTCAGCGGTGGTTAACCAGCAGAGTCAAAGAAAAACTCGAAAGAATTCATGCGGACAGTCATCTGCATCGGGGGGGGTCAGTCCAAATGGACTGACCTGTGATTACCTACCGCAGCCACACTCGCCATTAACTGTAACTAGAAGTAAATTCAGCATGGAAATCTAGGTGCACTTCCAGTACTTTGAAATAGAAACAAAAAAAAAAAACTCCAGACTTGCATGACTTTCAATATAACCAGCACATCTGTCAAACAGTTACAACACTCTAAGTGTGCAATGTGCAAATTTATTCAATATGTGGTAGTAAGTGTGTGAACCTCCCTACAGCTTTGATTACCACAAGCATGAGCTTCTTGCCTTTTAATAGGTTCTGACATTTCTCCTAAGGGATATTCGACCATTCCTTCATGCCGAGCCTGAGAGGAGTCCGAGATGACCTTTTGAGAGCACCGATTTTTTCCAGTCTGCTGCCGTCCGTTCACCGTGTTTGACAAACGCCTTGCATTATTGTCATAAAGCGACCAGCTGAGCTTCCTGACAGGAAGTACCGGTTTGGGGCTAAAATAAGGTGACAGACTTGACTGACAGTCCCAGAGACACTATCCTGGTAATGCCAGAGCAATGTGAAGACTCCCAGGCATGGTGTCCCTTGGACACAAGTTAACCTCCCACACTATTTTTTTGTACATCTTGATAATAATAATACACTTTATTTTATATGGCACCTTCAAAGGGAGCTCCTCAAACCCCTTGATAAAACTTTTCTAATGTCCTCTTCCTGGTGGGGTCACAAACATCTTGAACTTCCTGATGAACTGGACAGCCTGAAATGTTTTTATATATATATATAGACGTAGCCATTAATAAAGCTGTTGAGGTTGGCAATCCTGGACTTCGGGTCTTCCGACACCTATTCCAGTTTATCCTTCAGCTCCCAGGGGAATCAAGGCGTGCTGCTGAAGCTTGTCATCTTTATCATCTTTCTTTGCGAAACGACTACATGACTGAAAACGTTATACGGTTAAACTCAAAGACTTATTTTCAGACTTTACAGCGCATGAATATACTGCGTTTGAAATCTTAAAAGTCACAAACGTTGAAGGCGTTACGTTTTGATGCGCGCCTGTGTTTTTCCATATTACTTTTTAATGACAGTTCGTCATGGATATGAATGCACTTGAAGGCTACAGGACGCTTTAATACCGGTCTTCTCTGCAGACAGCTATTACATTACTCTGTAGCGTCTAGGTAATTAATGCCCCTTTTATTGTCATTAGTACGGGGTATTTTTAAAATCGAACGCTTAGAAAAATATTCAGCGTTTGCGGTCTCTCTCAAATCCCCGGATTGCAACTAAAACAGCCGGCGTTTCTACCTCATTACGATAGCATCAAGACTCCGGGTGTCAGGAACCGTTATCCAAGCCTGCCAACATAATTAGCAGCGCTTTTAAGCGTGAATTACCACGCTGCTATATAAACTGCCGAACGCGGAGAGAAATTCCCTTCGTCTATTATAGGAACATAGGAGCGCTTCAAAGAAACGGCACGTCTGTGCAACAGAGCAATAACTGAACAATAAAGACCCGGAGCTCCCTTTTAATAATAACGTGGCAGGCGTAGAGACATGTCACGCTAATACGCGATTCATTTAGAATTTTTCATCGATATACAAGTACTGGATAGGAGCTATAACGCATAAGGGGAGGATGCCTACCTGAGAAGCACATGAGTGCAATTTCACGTTGCAGGACGCGCCGTCGTCCAGGTGTTTCAGAAGCTGGACATAATTCCACATCGCGGCGTGAAACCACAGGGCCGTGGAGCGCTACACCGGAGCTGACCTCGGCTCGCCCGGGGTCCTCAGCTGCCCCGTCTGTCCAACCCCCAGCCCCCTCAGCGCCTAATTTCGGTCCTGCATCCCTGACAACGGGACCGCCAACAACGCCGCCTGGAAAGAGAGCGTTTCCCGGGAGCCAACTTGCTCTCCGTGTCGGATAGAAGTGACATCTGCTGGATTGGCAATCTCATTGCACCACCTTGGGTAACGCCGAAACGCTAGGACCAGCTGAATCCACGTCTGCGAGTGAGAGCGCCCTCCTGCGACAGGCGATTGCATTGCAGCTCAGCCGAAAGCTGGCGCACAGGTCCAACATGAGGTATTTCACGGTGTGAACGGTGAAGATGATTGATCATTCATCTCTCTGATCAGTTTTTTTTTTTGAGTCTCCGCATCTTTCTTTACATAATTCCGGTAAATCCGAGTGCACAGGTACAGAGCTATTTCACCCCACTACTACAACAGCATTTAAAAATACACACGAAGAGTCTGGATAATTTATATTTACAAAGTTTTATTAACATTTTAATTAAGAAAATTCCCCTTCAAAGCTATTCACTAAAGCCAACAATGATAAAAAAAAAACATTTCCAAATTCCAGCTCTACAGTTTGAAAGACTGTGCTTTCGAAGGCAGACTTACTTCACTACAGGAATCTTTAGGCACTTCAACACCTTGTAATACGTTTTTTTCAAGGCACTAGTTCGCACCCAGTGAATGAAGGGGGTGTGTAACAATCATTTTGTTTAACAAGGTCCTTCAGGTTCATTTTACAGATAAAAAGATGAAAACAAAACTCAACAACAACAACAACAACAACAGAAATGTGGAAAAATACAATAAATAAAAAAAAAAGTACTTAAAACTTTTGGCAGTTCACACAGTAACAGCCATAACAATAAAATTCCCTTTAAAACACAGCTGTCTGTAAGCCAAAACAGGAGGTTCATCAAGCTGTATACTGCAAATACAGAGAAGTTTAACATTTAAGTTATAAAAATAACATTATTGATCCACAGGTGAGCAGTCCAGGATGATGTGTCCATATGTACATTTATGAGGGACTGTGTTTTGCATTCTAGTTCTAGTTGTACAGTCGTCATTGCAGTGTAAACATTAAACAAAGTTGCAGGACACTTCAGTTGTATTAATTGGTGATTAAAGTCTACCCAAGAGTTGGGGTCCCTGAACTGGGGGGGTACTGCCAGCTATCCCCCCTTCCTTCGTTACAGGAGCCGTGCTGTCCTCCTATCCTCGTTTGTCCGAACCCCCTTAGCGCAGCGGATATTCAGATAAAAGCCCAAAAACCGTTACCAAGCACTAAAGAATGAGAAGCTCCATCTGCACTGCTTATCTACCGCCTGTCCCGAGTTCTGGGTTTCAATGTCGGCTCAGGCTACAGATCCCCAAGCGAGTCAGTGGTCAGTTGCCCCCCTCCTGCAGTCCGCACCTTTCCGCCACACGCGTGCCCCTCGATCGGCACGGACTCGGGCAGGGATCCGTGTTCCCTTCCCGTCGACACGTCACCCCTTTGCGGGAAGCAGCCTAAACCCCATGAGGCGCACAAGAGACTCGCACATCAGCCCCACAAAATGCCGCGTTCGGTTTTTCTCCAGTCTGATCTGATGTGGCGGAGAGGACTGGACAGAAATGAACTGCAGATTGGCTGGGTGACCAGGTATAGTGACTGGCAGTGTCCTGTGACTGTGCCAGCCCAAGGCACTCTCTCACCACAAAAACCATACGTTTAGACTTATTTACTGTACACGAGCACCGACATGTAATGCAGTTCCACAGAATGCTGGACGGACCTTTCCCAATATGTTTTATAATCATCTAGACAGATAAAGAAAAACTTTAGTGGTTCACCTTTGACAGTAGTTCTGTGTGCATTACACATCTTTGCTCTTTCTACCGTGTTGCATTTTTAAAAATAAATTCTTTCACACTGACTGCATTTTCACATGGTGTTTAAATATCCTTGGTGCCAAACGGGTTGGGAGGGGTAGACGCTTCAGTGAAGATAGGAGGAGTGGTTCCATCCTCGATACCAAGGCCTGAGGGAAACAATCAAGACAAAAATGATTGAAATAGGGCTTCACTGTCTCATGCCTTCAGTGACATGAAGTCCTGGGCTCTTAATCCTGAGCCACATAAGCCATGGAAAGTGCCCTTCACAATCAAAATATTCATTGTTTAGCCCAAGTGACTAGAACATTTCAAATGGCACTTGTGATTCTTTAATCCAGTGCTTGCTCACGAATGCCCCCCTATTCCCCCAGGTTTAACACTGATGTAACGATCTTCTGATGGGACTCTGGACTGCTGTGCAGCTCAGGTCACAGCCTGCAGACGAAGTGCTCATACCCAGTGGAGTTGAGAGACTGGGCCCCGCCCTGAGATGTCAGAGTGCCGCCATTGGACGACAGGCCACTAGGGGAGGAGCCTCGACTGGGACTGCTGGGAGATGAACTAGACGACACTGCAATAGAGACGCACATACACAACTTTACGAACTCTGAAAGCTAACAGGATGAACAATCTTGCAAATTTAGCATCAAGTCTGCTCCAAGTCTACAATCTACAAATATACTACAGCCCACTTTTTTTGTGCCCACCTTATACTTAAAAGTACTTAAAGTACTATCTGCTCTTTTAAAAACCTGTAAAATTTACTATCAGATTGTCAAGAACATTGATCTGCACCTTCAGTTTCCTGTAAGTGCAGCTTAAACACCTCTCATTCATTTCTTTGTGGCCATAAGCTTTGAAAGACAAGATTTTGAAGATGGAAAGTTCGATTTTTTAAACTCATTTGATGCCCAAACGTCTGCACCCCCATTGGTTAAGTCGTCAGGTTTACAGAATTACCCGTCTCTAAGGAGAGGGAGAAAGAAGCTGCAGCCACAGGGCTCGTGAGCAAGTGGACACCTACACGTGCTCCACATCAGGAAATGGAGGCAAACAAAAGACGGTTTATATTATTGCAGTCCCACTGCAATTCATTTGCATTGGTATGTATCCATTCCTCTGGACAGAAAACATCTGAAGCATGGGAACAAACGTATACTTTAATTTCAGCAGCCTCACTGCTATGGTTTTAAAGTTTCTTATCTCCGATGCAACGTGGAAAGAAAACCCACCTCCACTCATGGTACTGTGCACCTGCGAGACGGCCAGCGGACTGAATGACCTGGAAGTGGAAACCTGAAACAGGAAGTGGACAGGAGTTACTTAGCCGTAGGCGAATTCTTCAGTTAACAAATCCATAAATGAAAAGGTGGGAGCTGGGGACAGGCAGAGGAGCAAGAGAGAGACGGGAGCCCAGAGCAAAAAGGATGAGCTCTCACCAGTCTGGAGTTGTAGGTGGGCGGCTTCAGGGAAGACGACGACATGGGGCAGCAGATCCTCTTCTCCTTCTGTCTCCGGTTACAGAACCAGACCCGCACCACCTCCTTCTCCATAGTGAGCTGCTCGGCGATAAGCGTGATCTCCTCTGAGCTCGGTTTGGGGTTCTGGGCAGGACAGACACGGCACACCCCGCGGTAAGCAGGAGCACTCACCTGCATTTTCTTTTCAGTGGGCGACGCACACATCAGCCCACTGCGCATAACTGAAAACCTCCAGACTCCCCTGGAACACACTCGTTTTGTGCGCTCACTGGGGTTCAATTCGAGTATAGAAGCAGTGTTAATATGTGAGCTTTGATTAAAGAAGCCCTCTCTGTCAGCTAGGCCTAAGATTTCTCTAAGCTATCAGGTCAGGCCCTGCATGCAGCAGGGGCCCATACTCACGTCCTGGAAGCGCTTCTCTAGTGTGAGCTTGATGTTGGTCTCGATGCTGGTTCTCTTCTTGCGCTTTCGACCGAAGCCCTCGATGAGGGGGGGCATGGAGGTGGCGTTTGCCATGCTGTCTGAGGGGGAGTTCTCTGGTGGGGGAGGGGGAGGCAGACGGGACAGCGTTAACGGTCAACCTCGGCCATGAGCCATCATGGCGCCGCTCATTCGCCAGCGCCAAGACCGCAAGCTCCCTTTCCTTCCTACGCCGTGCACACTGCGAGCACTGTTGTTTTTCCACGTGTATCCAAGGGTGGCATGTGTGGCAATAAGGAATATATTACAGCTATGAGTAAAATAACACTCCGTTTGCGTCAGTAGGAGATATAGAAGGGCTACACATTCTGTTTGTGCCCTTCTGACCACCCCTTCCCTAAATCCTCCATGGCTCCTCTGACCAGCCCTGACCCCTCCCTGCCCCTGATCCCCAGCTCCGCCCTGGCCATCTGACCCACCTGACCCCTCCCTGCCCCTGATCCCCAGCTCCGCCCTGGCCATCTGACCCAGCCCTTTAAAAACGCAACTCCACTCCAGACCCCCTGATTCAGCTCTGCCCCAGACCCTCTCACCTGCATCACTGAGCCACTTCTCCAGCAGTGGCTTCAGCTTGCACATGTTCTTGAAGCTCAGGTTCAGAGCCTCGAAGCGAGAGATGGTGGTCTGGCTGAAATCGTTTCCGTAGAGCTTCCCCATGGCCAGGCCCACGTCTCCCTGTGGGGGAAAAAAAAAAAAAAAGACGACACTGGTGTCAGCGGCGCATTGCCGGAAAGGAGAGGCGCAGTGCAGAGCGGGCTCACGACTCAAATCTGGAGAGGTAGGGTTCCTGTTCCAAGGAGTAGGGCTGGGCCACTGTCGAGACTGTCGAGCAGACTCGGTGCAGGAAGAGCAGGATTGTGTCCAAACAAGCAGCTCCCGTTTGATTTCACTTTTTCCACTTGCATCCCTGCAACTCTTTCGTAAGCCGCCCAGCCATGTGGCTGAAGCTGATACCTCGGCTTCTTTCAAGAACTAGCTGGAGGAGATCCTGGGATCAGTTCGACAATTAACCACTCACTGTCAAAGGGGCAAGCAGGGCCAAAACGGTCTCCTTTCCTTTATCTTTCTTATGATGTTATTGTAGGACAAAAAAAAGAATGTGGTTTCAATATTTAGAAGTGTATTTTCCAAATAACTCTAGGCTATTCCCAGATCCACAACACTAGTTACTCATTTATTGGCATGGCCATTGTTAAAATTTGAATCCCAAATGCCGAGAGTCAGAGAGTTCATGCTGGAATAAATACTATAACAGGGCTCTTGCTACTAACAGAGGATCTGAAATAACTTGGGACAGCCGTCAGCCTCAAATGGGATTTAAAGTTTCTTGTCCATCCTTTCTCCCGCCCCCAGCTGCCAGCACCAGCACCTGTGTGAAGCCCAGTTTGATGCGTCTCTGTTTGAAGGCCTTGGCAAACTGCTCCAGCTCCTCCAGGTCATTGGGCTCTTCCTGCTGGGATGCGCCCATGTGCTTGGGGACCTGAAGGTGAGGCGGCATCTCCAAGTGTCCGTCCAGAGAAGACCCCGACAGGCCTGACCGTCCCACTGCCTGCGCGAGTGATAAAAAAAAAAAATTAAATCTAGACTCACCAGTTGTTTCTGTAATACCCATTTGATTTTGGAAGAGCCATCCATGCGTTTCACATCAGTAACAAACCATGTTACCGCACACTGGGGAGTGAGGAAATTCAACTCCTGCGACCTGCCACCTCTCCTGCCACTAGACTTTTAACACCTCACGGGCAACACAGTGCTGTGCATGGGGGTCACGCACAGGCTGCCTCTCTTCCAATTGCATCACAAGAGGTCACAGGGGACGCTGTGTTGTCGAGAGCAAAGAGAGAGCACCCTACCCTACCCTATAGCCAGCAGCCATATCACTCTGCAACTCACAACTGGCAGCCCACTGAAGCTCAGCAGGTGTGAGCCTGGTCAGTACCTGGATGGGAGACCTCCTGGGAAAAACTAAGGTTGCTACTGGAAGAGGTGTTAGTGGGGCCAGCAGGGGGCGCTCACCCTGCAGTCCATGTGGGTCCTTATGCCCCAGTATGGTGACAGGGACACTATACTGTAAACAGGCGCCGTCCTTCGGATGAGATGTAAAACCAAGGTCCTGACTCTCTGTGGTCATTTAAAATCCCAGGGCGTTTCTCGAAAAGAGTAGGGGTGTAACCCCAGCGTCCTGGCCAAATTTCCCATTGGCCCTTACCAATCATGGCCTCCTATAATCCCCCTCTATGAATTGGCTCTGCTCTCCTCCCCACTGATAGCTAATGTGTGGTGAGAGTACTGTCACATCATCCAGGTGGGGCTGCACAGTGGTGGTGGAGGGGAGTCCCTTTTATCTGTAAAGTGCTATGAGTGGAGTGTCCAGAAAAAGCACTATATAAAAGTGTAAGCAGTTATTATTGGTGGTGCTCGATCAACTGTGCACCCGCACTTGGGGAATCCCCATTACAATGTGGCTCGAACCCTTGATATTAGAGCTCAACCTAAACACGTGAGCTCCTTTACCAGTTGAGCCACGCAGGATGTCCTTCCCAATTTGATTGGAATTTAAATTATAAAATTGATTAACATTCTTGGGCATTAGAAGCAGATTTGATATCCTTTTTCCCCTGAGTGAAATGTCCTTTTGCAGTAAAGCTGAAGTTTCTGCACAGAAAAAAATTCCGTTTGATTTGGTTAAAAAGAAGATGCAGCTTCGTTTAGTATTTTTTTTCCCCTCTCTGCACTTCAACTGATCTAATCAAAGATCCCGCGGAAAAGAAAGATCCTTGATATTACCGACAGCAGTGCAGCACAAAGGAAAATAAAATTAAAAACAATTTTTTTATTCCTATTGCAAGAGACTGTCATGGCCGTTAAAGATAATTATGTACGTCAACATAAATTTATGATTTATTTCATGCTATTACTCCCGGTGTGAAGTCAGAAAGCACAGGCAAGAACGTTACAAGCTGTAGCCCAGTAAGAGGACCCTCACCTGGGGAGTGAGCGCTAATCCAGGCTGGTGCTGGAGCAGGCCTGACTGGGACTGGGAGGGCAGGGAAAGGAGGTTCTGCTGCAGTAAGGCTGGAAGAAATAGCAAAAAAAACACTACTGAGGCACAACACATCCCTCCATTTATTTCCCATAAAAACACTTTTCCAGGTACTGGAAATGTTAACCTAGGCGCTGGGTGCAAGGCAGAAAGACACCCTGGACTGGACACTAGAGTGGACTGCAAGGCGCACTAAATCGCTACCCTCAGCACAGCGCTAGTCTAATACAGCGGAGCGATAATCACTTCAGTCGATTCACATGACCAAACAGAAACCGTGAATTTACTCAGCTTCTATGATCCCCCCCAACACATTTTTGGAAATACAACCTTTTTCCCCCCCCCCATCAAAATGCTACCTGCAAGCTCAGCCTAAAGCTGTGTTTTGTAACAATGAAACATAAGTGATAATGTGAATAAATACGTATAAATTACCCTATAGTCAAAACATGTTTCCCATGGGGTTTTGAAGATAACATCTCCTTAGAAAGTTAAACATCATCTCCCAGGAGCTTCACAATGGACTGTGTGTTAAACACCTAAGCGGCTTCATATATTCATTCATTTAGATCAGGAGAGACCAGACGGATGCACACTTGCATTAATGCAAAGAAACGGCAACAGCATTGCTAAAACTGGGTCTGCAGCTCCAAGTGACCAACACATCCCAGCGTCCCAAACAGACGTTTTGCCCACAAAGATTCACCCAATGTTGAGAAAACGAGATAATGAACAGGTCCCCATCTGTGAAATGGCTTCTAGAGCCAGTGCAAGCAGAAAGGAATGATTCGCTTTTGGGAAAACCTGGTTTTCCCAGCGTCCGACTGCTCCTCACCTTGATGGCTGGTCTGGGTCTGAGACAGAAGGAACGGAGAGGAGGGGGTCAGGTGGGAGCCAGACACCAGCAGCAGTGGATGCAGGGAAGGTAGTTCCTGAGGGAGAGACGGACATGAAAACGTCTTCGAGGAAGCATAAGGAAAGCTCCAACATTCTGGGGTTCAAGCCTGTTTGCGGCCACCAGGCTAACACAGACACCCTTCTAACAGGCCAGCCTCGTTTGGGGGGACCCCTAGGACTAAAGCAGGGGTTCAGAGAAGGAAAAAAGGCACACGGGGTTGGATGTTTTAATGAGTGTTTTCATGCCACCTAGTGGCTCCGCTTGTAACAAATGCCATCAGGCTTTTGGACACACGCTACAAAAAGCATTGAAAAAAAGATTTTTATTAACCTTGAGAGAGAAACTTTGCAAATTGCAAATTTTAAAGATAACAGGGGTTGTTTTTTAGCGGTGCAGGTGTGGGGAGCCACCTTGACATCAGACACGCCCCCCCCCAAACCTGTCAGTCAAATCAGGAATTGTGAAGCCCTACCCCAGAAAGCTGTCCCCCGCCCATAGGGGACCCCTGTGTCAGGTGACACGTCTTGAGCGCCGACACGGAGTGGGGAGAGTCGTTGAGGTCTTCCGTCTTGATCTGAAAACACAGCCAAAGGTACGGAGAAATGATTTAGCTAATGATTTCATCGAAAATGGCCTGTATTCAAAAGCTCTGGTTAACTAAAATATTGACATGTGTGAAAATGCACACGTGAAGACAGGGCCATCCAAACACACATCAGTTAATGCAGTCATGTCACATAATGCCTTATACAGCCACCAGAACAGAACAAGGCATGGACATGTCCAGCATTTATAAAACAACTTGTGTTCAATCTTGTTGGCAAGGCGTTTGAGAAGAGTGACCACGACTAGGTCATCTGTAACAAAGGGGGATTTTAACGATGTTTCTGTGCTCAAGGCTACAACAGCGGCGCCATAGCTGGGATTGGAACCTGTAACCCTCTGGCCAGCTGAGAATCAAACCATTCCTTCGCACTGCTGCACCAACACAAAAGCCAGCGCCTATGGCACCCGACAGGAAAGGGAAATCTCTGAAAACCTTGCAGGTCTGAAGACCGTCTCCTGCTGTTAGCGTTTAAAAACAAAGTCTCGGTGCCAGTGGTTTTCCAATTTCTTGCTGCTGCACTCAGTGTGACTGCTGTGCTGCGCTGATGTGATCCTGTACCGGTTGAACAGGACAGCTCCTCCAGCAAACTCCCCCCCCCACCCCTTCTCTCTCTCTCCCTCCCTCCCTGCTGGCAACACAGTATGCAAATATCTCCAGGAGACCCTGGGAGCCATTTCCTGCAGAGTTGAGACACCAGCCCTACTGCGGCCTTAACTCCCTCTTGCCCAGCGCCAAGGAGCGTCTTGTAGTGAAGGCAAAATCTCTTCACATTCGCTTCTCGTTCGATTTTTCTGAAGTTTTTGAACTTCTGCAGAAACTGTTCCACACCTCTTCTTCGTCACAGAACTCAGAATCGCATTTCCCAGAACTCGCCTAACCTAATTATCCTATTTGGCAGGCTGTTCCTCTAAACGCTACTGACGGGCAACAGGGAGCTCGGTGCACCTGAAGAGGCGAAACAAATGCCATCCGTTGTCTCACAGTATGCGTTAGTGTACAGCTGAGCATCTTTAACATGTGTTGGGAAGAGCAAAACATTTTAGTGTGTGCAGATCTTTCCTCACTCTGTGCTATAAGAACACTGCTACTGCAGTTCTGAATATAAACCTTAAAAAGTGTGCAGATTGTTCTTCGCGCGTCATCAACCCTGCATCTTCCATAATGCGAGACCGTCATGTGAGCAGGACTTGCGTCAATAAAAGAAAAGGCAAGGTGACAACTCTCACAACAGGAAGTGAGGTCACAGTGGCCAGTCACTTTGTCACCCAAATCAGCCAATAACCATCTGATCTATTTTCACCATTGTGATGATATCTAGTGCACAAGGATTTCTTGGGAGATATTCCCAAAGAGATGATTAAATACAAGTATTTGTGGGACATGCAAGACACCAGAAACTCCAACTTTGAGAAGTTTCAGTCCTTGAAAGCTATAAAGAAAACAAGTGCCATACTCTGACCTGCACCAATGCATTTTTTGTCAGCATAAAAGAAAAATTCCTCAAGGAAAGGGATATATGACTCCCAGTCAAGACACACCAGGGAGCACTCACTGTCCTTGAATGTAAAATGTTAACTGCACAGCAGTACATAAACTTTGGAACTCCGTGATGAGTTGCTGCAGCGTGTAGGCATCATTAAGAGACAGTATTCTTATTGTCTCATCTGAATATGCCCTTTGAAAGTATTTAGTATTGAGTGACAGCAAATAAAATTCGGAATGAACTGTATGAAGTCCGTAGGCTAATTTAAGTCAATTAATCTTGGAGACCATCTTCACTGCTAAAAAATTCAAATAACTGTTTTGAGCGGCTTTCTGTAGAGGCTGGGCCACATACTCTTGAGCAACAGCGAGCTCTTTCCAAGAGCTGCCTCAGTGCATGTATCCTCGAACCCGGACCTCTCTGAGGGCTGATGAGGGTCACAGGTGTCGGAAAAAGTTAAAGATTATGGATTTCCATCGCTTACCTGTCTTGTGAAGTCCAGCCCATTGCGTTCATCATCTGCAAAAAACAAAAAACAACCTTAAGATTTCACACAGGTTTCTGATGTGATGGGCGAGTGTTCTTAAGAATTTTAAAGAAAACAAAGAATTTTATACTTAGTCTCTTAAGTACAGTACATTTAAAGGAAGAAGCAAATTCTACCGATTTCTATTAAGACCAAAATCGTCATCTACTTCATTCAAAACCCACTGTGATTTCCTACTATAAATTTGCCCACGCTTGACTGGAGAAGATTGTTTTTAAAATTGAAAATCTGGTATCAATAAGGGTTACATCCCCACTATTAGGCATTCTAACAGGTCCTGTTATTGATGCTGAAAACTCATATTTGAATAAAAACTACACACACCAGACTATTCTGTGCAATTATGGTCACCTCAAAGTTAAGAAAATATTTCTGTTCTAGAACGAATTAATCAGCATTTCCAGACTTGAAGGCATTTCCTACACTGACAGGATAACAGGAGAACAGAACTGAACTTTTATCAGTCTTGAACATGGAAGACTAGTACAAGGGACCTGATTCTTGTTTTCAAAAACCTCGAAGGCACTGACAAAGTCAGCCCAGAGAATTTCTTCAGAATGAATAGAGAAACATGAACCATGTCGAAACTATGCGGAGGTGTGAAAAGGAGTAATATCTTTACGCTAAGGGTTGTGGGAGCATGAAACAAGCTACCACAACCCTTAGGGTAAAGATATTACTCTACCACTTCTGCACCACTGTATTTTAGCACAAACATAAGAGAGGTTACAAACGACAAGCCCTCTTTAGCAGGTTAAGTAATCAGTAGCTAACTGATTTGAAGATTTCATCAAGCCAGTTCTTGAAAGGAGTCGGGCTATTGTCTTCAGTAACATGCAGTGGTGCAAATGTGGCCTTCACTGCTGTTACAAGGCTGTGATGTTTTAGCCAGCTGCAGTTTATCAGTTTCTGCTATTGCCCTGTACTATCTCACTGGGGCGGAGCGGTGGCTCTGTGGCTAAGGATCTGCACCTGTGGCTGGAAGGTTGCCGGTTTGTATCCCACAGCCGGCAGAGGAATCCTACTCGATTGGGCCCCTGAGCAAGGCCCTTAACCCCAGCTGCTCCAGGGGTGCCATATAAATGGCTGCGCTCTGACCCCAAGCTTCTCTCCCTGTCTGTGTGTCTCATGGAGAGCAAGTTGGGGTATGCGAAAAGACAAATTCCTAATACAAGAAATTGTTTATGGCCAATAAAGTGATCTTATCTCATCTTATCAGTTCTCCCAGTGGTGGTCTGCTTCATTTGCAGAATACCAACAGCACTTTGTGAACTTTATCTACAGCAGGCAAAGATCTCATTCTTTCTCACTCTTCTTACAAGTTCCTTCATATTTGTGGTTTTTATCTGGTCTGCTAAATTAAAACCTAAAAAGCCTAAGGGCTTACTAACAAAAATTTACAATTTTTTTTTACATTTAAAGATTAATTCAGTTTTTATCTATGTAAGTGCTGTATATTTTCTTAATGTTATTACTAACTAGACCATCTTCAGTCATGGTATAGGGCTAAGCGCCCTTTTTAAGGACAGTGTTTAAGAAGGACAAATGTGTCAACCTCTCCCCCCCCCCCAAAAGATATCCACCAAGTTAATTTAAAAAGTTTAATTTGGGTGAGTTAAAAAGCTGTTGCTTTACAGATTAAGAATACAAAAGACCCCTCCCCAGCAGCACCTTTTGCAGAAATGTTTCTTACCAAAAACATTCAAGTCAATGCCAATAAGCAACACGGGCTTCAGCGCCGGAGCAGGCCTTTGTCAGGTGAAAAAAGGATCAGCCTTCTCGTGTATTCTTTAATCTCCCTGATTTGAATGTCAAATTATAGCCCTCCATGTCTGCAGTGCCCACTGGGTCTGGTGTCCTACAGTATGGAAATTTTTTCCTATTGCTGCCAAACTTCCAGTATGGAAATGATGAGCCCATGCAAATAGGCTGAGGTCTGTATCCGTGGCAACCTTCAGAGCCCCTGTTTATTTGAATGGTCACACATGGCCCCCAGGTGCGCCGCCAACTGCTGGCCTGCAGATAAGCTCCACCTGAGCGAGAGACCGGGCGGAGTGATGGAGGGGGAGGCCAAGAGCTCCCTCCCCCCCCCCCCGAGAGAAGGGGGAAAAGACAGCCAGCCGTCTCTAGGAGAAACCCGCCTGTCAACAGAACCACACACTCTGTGGCAACGCACCCTGGTACAGCACCACAGAGCAGACAGAAACAGACGACAAACGTTTTGTAAATCCCACCATCTCGGAGAGAAGCAAGTATGGGAATTTAGTAAAAACACAATGCACTAGAAGGCTGAGCCGTGAGCTATACTATAATACATATTTATTATTACTAGTATTAATGATGACATCAATAATAATCATTATTGTTGTTCGAGATGTTATGATTAAGACTAAGTTATTTTGATAGTGGGCTGGGATTGTGTATGTTTTCCCCGTATTCGTCTGGCTTTCCTCCAGGTGCTCTGGTTTCCTCCCACAGTCCAAAGACATGCTGGTAGGTCAATTGGCTTCTGGAAAGACTGGCCCTGGCGTGAGTGTGTGTGTGACTCTGTGATGGACTGGTGTCCTGTCCAGGGTGTCCCCCGCTTTGCACCCTTTGCTGGCTGGGATAGGCTCCCCTGTGATGGAGCAGTAGGTTAGTAACTTATTCTATAATAATAGTGCACCTTGAGAGTCTCCCTGTAGGAGATGCAGGCACCTAGCTCTCACAGAACTCTGGATTCCTATTAATGCAGGAAGAGAGAGAGAGTGTCTTTATTATCCCTAAGGGCCAAAAAGATGCTTCCAGGTTATTCATGGTCTTGGCAGAACTGGATCTGCCCAGGAAAAGCAGACCACAAAATTCAAAGAGGAAAGGCGCGACGCTCTTGGCCCCCTTCCCCATCCCCGGACAAGTCTGAGCAAGACGTGGTGCCGGGGTAGCAGAGAAGGCCCGGACCAGGGAGCAGCTCTCCCCCACACCTCTCCCCACGGGACGGCGCGCTGGAGAATCAGGCGCCACACAAGCCGAACGCCGCAGGCGAGCCTCTCGGGGCCTGGTTACACCACCCAGGTGTTGACTCGGTGGCATCTTAACTCTTAAGTTATATTAAAATTATAAGTCTAATATGAGAAAAAAAACACGTCACTTTATCAATTACAAAACGCTGCCCAACCAGCGAGCACCGGAGCTCTGCGTTACAATAACAGGAACACGCCAGACTGCCAGACCGACTCAGTATTGTTTCAAGAGGCAACAAAGAAGTTAAAAAGTCAGAGTGCCCATTCCACAACACAGAATTAGTTTAATAAATGTCTGGAGGGTGAGGGAAGCTAAGAACAGAGTGTGGCTCCAGACAAGCAACACAAATAGCCGGAGGGCTCAGCCCCTAGCTTGAGCTGAAACCACTTCAGAAGTTCTAGTGACGCCACGCTCTGCTGCTCACCCAGCGGAGAGGAGCTCTCACCAGCCAGGGGTTTTCTCAGGTCAAGGCGAGCAGCTGGAAAGTTGCACATCTGTCCACCCGCCCATGAGACAAATTTCAAAGGATTTCAAAAACATTGTAAACCAGAATGGAAGAGGGGGAAGACCCGAAGAACATCCTCAAACGAGATCAGCAGGGAGAAGAGAATGAAACAAACTGCAGGAAAAACAAAGTTCCAGTAATCCAGTGCTTATACCCGCCTGCCATGAGTGTCAGAGACAAAACGTATCGGACAGAAGCTGCAGCAACAGCAGGAGGTGTGGTGGAACTACTGGAATCGCAGAAACACCTCTTCCTGAGAAAGGGGAAGGCTGGAAGAAGTAGAGATGTAGCACTGAACCATCAGAAAGAGTATTCAGGCACAGGAAGGCAAGACAGATGAAATGAAGCCAATCAGTGGTAGACATATGAAGAAGTCAGGGATGTTGGGCGTAGAGGAAGAAGAGATTATTGGTCGAAAGTTTAATTTTAACCTGCTAGGGAGAATACCTGTATAGAAATGATGTATAGTCATTTGAAAGCATTCAAGGTCAAGACAGGTTGAGGAAACATAAACCAATAGGGACCGACAATCACAATATAGCTTTGAAGTATATTTTGAATCTGTTCTGATGCAGAACAGAACACAGGTTTACAATTTCAAGAAAGCAGAGTATTAAGAGATGTAGAATAAGACCGATGTAAATAAGACAAACATGAAATCAGCAGAGAACGGATGGTAACTGTGTAAAGAGATCCTGCTTGAAGTAAACAACAGATTCATCCCAAAACGGAGTAAATCACAGGCTGGAATCCAATGGTTCAATTAATCAATGAGGAAAATGCAAACAGTTAAAGCAATTGAGGAAAAAAAAAATCAATGAAATGCAAAAACCATGCAAACTCCACACAGACAGACACCTGAGTTCAGAACTGAATCCAAGACACTGGAATTGTGAGGCAGGATTGGTGCCCACCACACAGAAATTCAGCATGGCTGCTGCAACTCCCACCTCCTGTGCAAGGAAGAGTGCAATTTAAAACTTGCCCTACAGCTGCTTTCTCAGAAACCAGTTTAGCTTTAAGATTGTCAGCTTACGGTCTGAGCAGTAAAATCAACAGTGCAGCACAGAGGGCAACCCCAGTGGGGTACGAATATGAGGTGATCATGCCCTGCTCATTGCTTGCCGGGTAGGCTCCGGCTTTCCAAGACACCGAATGGTATACACCACTGTCACACCGCAGCGCTGAAGAGCACCAAGTTTATTCTTGCATTGCTTTTTTACGATCTCGCCAACAGGCAAGGAAAGCATTAAATGTTATGCGAGCGCCCTGCAGAAACTGGCTGAACCACAGACAAAATTTGAATACGAAATGTTAGTTGCTTTATATGCTCCCTGAGAACCCGTCAATGTGGGCATCAGATCTTCTGCTATTGTTCAAAAGGCACCGCAGGCTGTGCATCCCGTTTCGAAGTTCCACATTTCAGTGTCAGTTTGTTCCCAATTTCACTGTGTGTTCCATCTCCCATCGTGGCTGGGGGGCAGTGGCTCGGGCTCTTGTACACACAGCTTCAGACAGCACATCCTGTTAATCTGAGGCAGTTTAACTGCCGGGAAGAGAGCCACGTCAGGTGCAGCTACATTAAACGGAGGATCCAGTTAGTGTCTCAACACACTGAGGTCTTTCAGCCTGAAAACGCTCATAAAAAAAAAACCCAAAACAAACAAAACTCCCTCCTAAGAGGCGGCGTGACCTGACTTTTCTGTGGTTTGAGACGCTGCCAACACACATAATGGCTGGGATATTGATTATCGCTCTACTGGCACAGCTGACATTTTAGCATGTGGAATTAACCATAATTAAGGTTAATTAAGAAGGCTTACCAGTCCAAATACTGTATTGTTTTCTTTCTACCTTCCAGCATGGAGTTAACCTTTTCTTGTTCCTCTGCAGCCAGTGCAAACTCCTGCAGGTCCCCACTCAAAGCTACTTTAGCACCTGAGTCTTTTCTTTCGAAAACAGCCAAGCAGTTTTCCCAAATATTACACATATTCGCAGCTGGATGTGTGCCGATTGAAAACCACCTCACCCAAGTGAGGTTCAGGTCTGGACATCCTGGACTGTGCATCACCTCAGCCTGACAGAAGATGGGGTTCACTTACACATGCAGAGCTCAGGTAACCAAGACCCGTCCACCCACAAACTGCCAGTTCTCAAGCAGGCACCAGAACACGTCTTAAGGATGCCTCCATCGAGCCGCATCGTGCACGCACCGACCTGCATGATGCCTAGAGAGTGCCCAACATTCGTGGTTTTTAAGGCACAGATACTGATGGAGCAACGTGTAGCCAGCTGGGTAGTTAGCCGAAGAGCAGCTTCATCAGTGCTCAGTGCATTTACTATTTTAGGACAGATTGCACAAATAAGTTAATTTTCCCCATTAAACACAACACAACCACCTCTAAAACAAACGCAAGGCACCAGTAATAACCTTGTTTTAACCTTAATTCCACACCCTGAACAAGACAAAAACACAACAGTAGAGCAACAGGAACACCAAAGGCAACGTTAAAAAGCCCTCAGTTTACTTTGAACCGTTACTTTATTTTTGAAAAGAAAATTGCTTCCTCTTTTCATAAGACGTACCGTTTCTTATCTTATTGTTTTGTTTTTATTTCAGGCCAGCTAGATAATTACAGAAAACACACCTGCACTATAAAGGCGCAAAGCTGGACCACCAAGGTTAGCCCGATGAGGCGAGATAACAAACATGTACTCCGATATACTGGATATCTTGTACTGTATGCGCTGGAGCGGGCGAGCGCTCCGAAGGGAAACCCCCGGGTGGGGCAGTTCTGTCGAACCCTGGAGCGAGGTACTTCACTCACACTGCTCTAGAAATAAGCCCACCTGTGTACGTGTGTCTACACCCGTGTCGCTTTGGACAAAAGCCTCAAAGACTAATAATAGCAACATGACACAGATCTGTTCCCAAGTTCCCAAGGCGTTCCCCCCCGTCTCCGAAAACGCTAAAGCGAAACACAGCTGACCCTCTCCTCACCCACAAAATGTTTATATATTATACCCACGCCACTTCTTCTTCGAGCAAAACGGTCTTTTAAAAATGACACCTTTCCACACAGAAAGTCAGCGCTGGCCGGAGCTGTTCCGGATTTAGAAGCGTGAAGCGATCACGTTCGGAGCCCTAACAGAGGAACTGGCCAGTTTACGAATTAAAAGAGGGACCGGCACACAAAATAAATGAATATTTAAAGTAACACATTAAATGCTGCTATTTATGTTTAATCCAGCCTAATGTTTAATGTTCAGCACCTTATCCCGATTATAAATGTTTTCATTGGCTGCAACATCTCTCAAAACACCCTCGCGTTGCCTAACATTTACTGCGTGCGAATCACGCCTGGTTTCAATAGGTCAAACTAAAAACTCGAATTTTGATATTCTAATTCTGATATAAGTAACCAACTCACGCCTTTTCGTAATTCGGATTGCTTTATTTTGATCCTTTAAGAAATTATATGTGTACACAGCGTCTTTTATACAAATACATGTATATTTAAAAACTAAGAATTTCCGTGACTCTTGAAAACGCGTCTAGACCTCATTCTTATTTTGTCCCCCTTCTTGAAAAACTGACGGGCTCTGTCAATCGTTAACGTTGAAACCTTTTTTAGTAAAAATGTATTTAGGAAAAATTATTACATTCTCTTTCTCAAGACAAACCGAAGAGATGAAAACTTTTAACACCCTTACCTGTTTGATTGTTATGGGTCTCTGTCGGCTCCACAGCCTCGCCGCTCATCTTCATATCTGTAATAATAAAAACAGCTTATTTTAATAAAGGGCCACAACTTTAGGCAGAAACGACGCAAGCAGGGCTTGCGCGTACACAGTAAAATGACCTCGTTATTCTAATATATTCGACTTTCAAATTTGTTTTCTCCGACATGCAATTGCTGTTATAATATTCATAAGGGTGATCCCAGCAGTTTTGACCACAGTAGTTCTCTCCGAGTCTTTCTGGTGTCACGTTTTTAAATTCCGTTCAATTTAAATGCGCACAGTTCGCTAATTTCCCTTATTTGGACGGCCAGACTTCTCCTTGCCCTGAAATAACATCTGGCACTACCTGCAGCTACAGTTACAGTAAAACAAAAGCTTACAAAAAAATCCAACAGTTCATGCCTTTCAAGGTTTTTTTTTTTAAACAAAGTGAACTTTTAGAAGCGTCCTATTTTGATTACCTTTGACCCTTTCAAAAGCATACACAAAGTTTGGTCCGTTTTATATTGTAATCGCAGGACTCTTTCTCCAGCGCTCAGCGCAGCCTCCCAATTTCAGTGAAGACGAGTAGTCCGCGTTGTAATCGTTGCTCTGCCTCCAAACCATTGAAGACTCTCCTGTCGGTTACTGCGAGGGGAATATTTTATTCAAATTCGCCCAAACCCCCTTTTTGGACAGGTGGGTCAAGGAGCGACGCATTAACCTTTTTTTTTCCAGCTCGTAAAAGGCGAAGTGGACCGATAAGAAGACTATTTGCATGCGCCGGTGTGCAGCCTATCAAGTCCTCATCGTTTTTGCATAGAGCAGAGGCTTGACTCCAGAGCAGCGAAACGCACCTCTTTCCCCAGCACACAGTCGCATTGACCTAAAATGTGTTTTTCCTCACGTGTCTTGTCTGTTTATATACCGATCACGCCTTGGTCAGACTAAATGGATAAGCATTAATTACACTCACCACATTTATATCGTGCTTTCAGTGTATTACATCTGGCCGTCGCGGCGTGCCATTCCAGTATTCCGCTTTACATCATGCAATGCATCTGCCTGAATTCAAGAAGTGTGTGTGTATATATATATAAAATGAGAAGAATAAAATTCAGACCCCTGCACGCAGCGTCGTGAAATGCGCACGTGAAAGGGATCCCGTGCTCGTCGCAGCCAGGACTGCTCGGAACCTCGTGACGCACAAGTGAAAACGAAGCAGAAGTTTGCAGGTTTGTGTGCCTTACCGGACACTGATAAATCCACCAAAAATAAAAAAGTGAAGGGGAAAAATAAAAGTAAAAAACAAACACGTGCGTTCCTTTCAGGAGTTGTACAATGTCCATGTCCGTTTACAGACGCTGTAAAGCGTCAAGTTTAATTTAAGAGAGTATGCAGTAAACTCTCTACAAGCTCTCTCGGATTCTGAAGGGCGTTAGCGATTGGGAAACTACGGGCTATAGCGCTGACTTGCGCTGTCATTTCTCTCAGTATCGCAAAATTCAAAGACAGGCGACCGACCAGCCCGATAGCACCAGCAGGACCAGATGATTCGTTATTAACCGTGGTTTTCTTATGGTTTTCGTTGTGGACGTGAAGACAGCGGTCGGGGAGATAAGTTTAGCGGGCTAAGCTAGGCTGCGGAAAATTTGTTGTTGTTTTTTGCAGAAGTTCATAAATAAACATTTCATTGTTTGTTAATTACAATTACAATTAGCCTTGCTCCCGGTGCTTGCCGGGATAGGCTCCGGCTCCCTCGAGATCCTAAATTGGATGAAGCGGTCAGGGAATGGACGGATGAGTGTCATTATGAATGAATGGCAATGTTTTTATTTTAAATTTATACTATACCTCAGTGCAAGAACTTTGAGTGAGGCTCGTATACATAATGTTGCCATCCTCTTCATCATACTGTACAGCTTTTAAATGGATGAATGATAGTTCTGTGCATTTATCTACTGCTTTCTATCCCAAAGGATCTCAGAGCTCTTTACATACAGGGGGGGTGATCAACTTCCCCCACCACTGCCCTGCAGCCCCCCTGGGTGACACACAGCAGCCCCACTGCACACAGGTCACGGGGAGAAGGGAGAGACTGAATGAAGTTAAGGTCCTTAGCAAAGCCAGCTTGCACAAGCAGTGGAGTCCAGCCCGGACAGCAGTATTACTCCCTGCTCCCTGCCATGGCATCCTTAACGACCAGGTTTCGTCAGGTGAACACAATCCTTTCTCCTGTACAATCCATCATTTTGGAAAATTGCTTCTCTGATGGTGAATATGGATTTGTAAGGCCCTGTTGCCCACTGGCACCAGCACATGACCTCACACCTGCAGGAAGCCAACAAACCCTGTTTTAATGTTCAGATTGAAGGGCTGAACACTGTTTTAGAAGTGGTGCGTGTTCAGGACCCATTCAGAGAGAGAAGTTAAAAAAAAAAAAAGACACTCTACACTCTGATGTTGTGCCAGACTGAAATATTCTGCTACAGCAGCGTCAGATACAGAAATAATACGCCAAATTGGATCAAGCCAAGACAGAGGTTTAAACCCCCTTTTGAAATATTCTATGCCACATTTCAGACCACGTGTGCAAGGCAAGCTTAAACACACACACAGACGAGAGAATCACTGGCAATCAAGCCACAAAAATGATCATGAAAAAATGAAAAAACATTTACAAAGCGCACACGCACAAAGCTCAGCCAAGTTGTCAACAGTTTACTTCGATCGCGATGAACATTCAGCACCGAAGCGTGGTGGCATGCATGTACAGTAGCTGTAGAGTACGTTCCTGACTCCTCCAGGGTTGACAGTTAAAATTTTGCAAACCCGTTTTTTTTGGAGGGAAGACATGAAAGGATACCCCGCGCTGCTGGTCGAGCTGGAGCACAGAACGACCCCGGGGGGCGTTCAGGGCCTTTTCGAACATCAACCTGCGAACGAGGCAGCGGAGGCCACAGGCTGCAGTGCGATGGGGGGAGACCGAAGGGAGGTCATAGCACAGTGAGAAAGGAAAGAGCTGCTTTCAACAGGTAATGTGTGGAGTGTGCTTTTAAAAAAAAAAACATGTTTACTGGATGTTTTCCGTCCTGCTCCTATACCACTGGTAGCTTGACACAACGACAGAATAAAAAAAAAAAAAAAAAAAAGAGACAGCCGGAGTGGGATAAAGATACCAGCACCTCTGGTGTTTGTCCTGAACAGTGTTTGCTCTGCTCTTCTCCCTAACCAGATTGTGTTAGCTTAGGCACTGCGCAAGTTCAAGAACTTCAAAAGAAAACAAACAAGCCTACTCATTTCTGAAGTCTGTTACCAAAAATACACAAACACCCCACTGCAGCTCGCCCGAAAGGCAAAAAGAAATACTGGAACAGCAGAAGTCGATCTCGGGAATAACGATGGCGCGCAATTTCCCCCAGTCTAGGGAGCAAGGTCTGGGGTTCCTTTAAAAAAATCCCCTCTCAGCAGGGATGACTAAATGTGTCAGATCAGCGATCAGGACAGACCAGCCTTTTCCTTCATCCCGGAGTGCGTGACTGCACTGTACTACGGAAGCTGGAAAGACAATGGAAAATCTCATCGGGTAATTCCAGGGAAAACAAGAACTGTAGGATACACCCAGGAATCCTGACCCAGACTGGGGGGTCTCTAGTTCTTACAGATTCCGTCCACCCCCCACTAACACCCCCTCCCCTTCGGGAGTAGTTAGGAAAGGAGTAAAACAGCTCACTCGCAGGCTGCTTGAAGGGGTTAGTCACAATCTTTCAATATTCCTCCCCGTCCCATCAACACGCAAACACCACCAGTCACAAGTGTCCGGCCAGAGTCGGTCCACGAGACGTCAGGTGCTGCAGATTCGCACCTTCAGCCCAACTAGAAGTTCGACATGAAGCATCAGGACCGAAATTACAGAGAGCACTGGTTTAGGGCACCGCAAGCCTGCCCTCAGTCACTTCCTACGCCGAAATGCAACATGTCAGCTTGTGTTGCCTAAATATCAGCTGCGCCCACAGAGATGTTTTATCTGCATTTGAATACACGGCGCCTCAAAAAACAACGTAAAAAAAAAATCGGAAAACGACGGCGGCATTTAATTTTGACAGCCCACACTCCCGAAAGTATATTTGCATCTTGACACTGCACGGAGGCTGCCCAAACTATGTGGAGCGATTCACGGGGGTCGTTAAAAAAAAAAAAACACACACACAAACGAAGTGCTGAAGAAAAACGAAATCATGCCCGCTCACCTGCGCGTGAAGGGTCGAATGTCACCACCATCGTTAGTGCCTCTGCTTCTGTAATCGCTGCTGTCCCCAAACAAAACCGTGGATCCCGGGTCCTCTCGCTTCAGTCTTAGCGCTCCCCTGACGTCACCCGGACAGGTACATCTCCGCGAGCAAGCCGCGGCTCCCCGCCTGTCCCGCCCCACGTCTTCGCCCGCAGCGCTGTGCACCACCTGGCTCCCGGCCCATGCAAAACACCACGATTTGCATAGAAGCCCACTGGTGACTGATGGAGAGGGGGGGGCGGCGAGGGCCAGAGGTGGGCTGTCCCCTCTGCGCGGGGGAGATATTCCCGGCGTGGCCGCAGTGTCCCAGCTGCAGAAACGACAGACCCGGTTCTTTCCGCCTGCCGGACCGCCGCAGGGCTTCACCGGGCTCCGGCTCCAACTGCTCTGCCCCGCTGCAGAACGGAGGAGGGAACACGCCCCCCTGTGACGCTCCTCTTTGGCCTTTTTTTCCCTAACCGTGCCGGTTTTCTTTGGAAACCTCACCCTCCTTTTCTCAGAAAAGTGGGTTAGGGCAACAGCTACAGATTCTCTAGAAGTATGATAGCACCGTCCTAGGCCAAACGCAACAACCATAAACGAGCTCATCACACTGTCTCTACAGCATTCCGACGGGCTTATCTGTGGCTGTGTGTCATACCGCATCAATACCGTACACGTGTGAAGCAGTCAAAGTACGCGTATAGCGCCGCGATGAACTTTAATTAGAGCCAATCAGCTGTTTAAGGGGAAGCGCTTTTAAACGTGAGATCAGGAGCCAATTATTTGTAAAAGCAGTTGTTGGGAGTCTGGAACAAGCTGGACGAGCTGACAGTCGGGCCACTGTCGGGAAACGTCTGCGGGAGATGCTCGGATCAACTAGCTACTAACAACCTTGAAGCACAATTAAGAATACATTTAAAACGTTTTGTCACTAAGGGTGAAACGAGTTAAAAGCAATTAGGTTCTGCACCTACTCCTTCTTCAGAAAAGCCTTTACTTAACTGGTTCCCTTCTTCACCCCTCTGCTCTTCTTAATACCATCTTCCACGGTCTCCTCTATTGTTATTGTTGTATTGTTGTAATTATAATTGTGTCCTATCTTGTGAAATCTTCTTATTTATTGTTGTAGTCTTCTTATTTATTGCTATTGTCATCCTGTAAAGCGCTTTGAGAAGCCACCTTTAAAGGCGCTATATAAAATAAAGTGTAGTATTATTATTATTATTATTATTATTATTATTATTACTCCAAGACTCGTCATGTATGTGCGAGTCGTACAAGAAGGCGTTTCTGGGGTATGTTTGATTGGAAGTCTGCTGTGCCATGTAGAACAGAAATAAACGAGATGCTGTACCGAACTTTTTTTTTTAACGTTTCACTTCAATTATACTATTCAATTATACAATTAAACAACCGTTTTCTGAGCGCTCAGGGGCACAGAGCTGCGCTTGATTCGAGGGAAGTGTGCATGCTGATAAGGGCATTTTTACATCCGAGTGGCTTGGTTTTTGCAATTCCTTGCCTGCCGGTCTTCCTCCTTCTAAAATAAGAAGCTTCAACTTTTCGACGCGCAGCTGTGAGATTACGGCCTCAGCATATCATGCTGGTAAAATGGTCAAATGAGTTACGCGTGAATCATCGAACTGATTTCAAACTCCATTCCGCCACACACAAGACACACTGCGATTCCCTAAGCTGAAAACGCTTTGGTGATAAATAACTGTTGCTTTTTTCTTTTTGGATATACATGTTGTGTCATGACGTTTGTGTTTTTTTTTAATTCCATTAAGCGCTCGAGCATGTCAAGAGCAAACAGGTCGCTTGTAAACAGGAGATATATGGGTGTTAATTAGCAATAACCCAAAGATACTTACAACTGCTCATCCTGTCAGGGGCAACTGGCCCTAGCCTGTCTAGCCCTTAAAAAATAAAATAACCCTGCAATATATTGATCTAACTTTAAATCCAATTTCAACGTCTCCTTTAAAACGGAGAAATGAGCGATTTATGGGATGAAGTGGTTTTCCTTTGGTCCCATCTGCGAATGCGTCATCGTCACACGCAACCGGACCGAAAGGCGCGCCTTTCGCGTGGCTCCTGTTCAGGAGGGGCACGTGGAGCGTCGCCCAGGCAGCGGCTCCGAAAATCCTGGTGCATCACAGCACCTGCTGATGGAGACGCGATGGAAGTGTTGTTTCTGCAGTTTTCAGGGTGGAACCAGAAATGCTGACCGGGGCCTGTTTGTGCCAGCTGGTGAGGCTTCTATCACTGTGTGTCTTTATCTTAAGTCTATTTGGAAAATGGAGGGCACGTCAGGCTGTGAGCAGTAGGAACTGACAGGGATTGGCACAGAACATGTTTCAGAAACCGGTATATTTGCTGCAGGTCTGCAATTACATTTCTCTAGGCGGAGTTCGATCATAGCAGGTAACAGAATCTCCCATTAGCGATTAGAGGCACTTCTCTGCCAGCATTTCCATTCCATTTTACCTTCAAAGTTGGCCAGAGGTTTTCTTTGAGCCATGGCCTGATGCCTGGTGCTTGTTTGCTCAGTGGAAAACAGGAATGATGTGTTAGTTAAGACAACGATTAGAGTATCCGCAAACTGCTTATCAGCAGCCTTCCCTAACTGTGCTGCCTGAGGCAGTCTGCCTTCTGCCAGTAATTGTTTTCAGCCATTAGTGCCAAGGGTGAACCCAACCTTCTTAAAACAAGAGCTGACACAGATCCTGGTTTTCATGCCTGCAAAAGGTTCACATCACATGAGGCTTTCAGCCGAAGGCTGGTGAAGTCTCAGTGAACACCTTTCATTAATTAATTTAATTAATGTTTCTTTATTAGCCCTATACAATTTCTTGCATTAGGAATTCATCTTTTCGCATACCCCAGCTTTTTCTCCATGGAGACACAGACACACAGACAGGGAGAGAGAAGCAGGGGGTCAGAGCGCTGGGTCTGCCATTGTACGGCGCCCCTGGAGCAGTTGGGGTTAAGGGCCTTGCTCAGGGGCGCAACAGAGTAGGATTCCTCTGCCAGCTGCGGGATTTGAACCGGCAACCTTCCAGCCACAGGCACAGATCCTTAGCCATAGAGCCACCGCTCCGCCCTAACGTTGTCCTACCCCGGGAAAGAGCCCCACTCTGGTAGACCCTTACCCAATAACCTGGAAGTGACCTGCAGGCTTCTGTAGAAATGCTGTGATCCCCTCTAGACGCCTGTTTCGCGGTGCTCTTGCACGTTTCTCTCGAGACCTTCAGGTTATTTGTGTAAGTGGTGGAGTCTAACTATCCTGGCAGCAGTGTGCAGCTGTGGTTTGGGCTCTGGGGTCAGAACAGGAAGGCCGTGCCCTGGAATACGGTACAGCACTTCACTCAGACAGACCTAGCTAAATGCACAGGTATAGCTAAACAGATACACAAGTAAGCAGCTCGGGATAAAAGAGGAGAACTGGGCTCAGGCAGTTGAGTGAGGAGAGCAGAGAAAACTATGCTGCTTCCTAAACTCCTGGTGCATCTGCATCACAGCATTTCTCCCATAGCTGAAGGAAAACCGGCTCGCCTTCAGTTGCCCAGCAGCGATAAAAGTGCTTTGCATCCGCCTTCCAACAGACAGGATTTATGCATTTCAAATTCAACTGTGTCGTTGTCTTACGTCTTCCAAACAGCTAGAGGTCAGGGTGTCCTACTGAGTTCAGGCCTCGGTGTATGTTCTTGTTTTATTAAAATGCATGCATTTTAAATTTCAGATATTTCTTACGAAAATGTTCAACTTCGCATTTTTTTTCACCTCCAACAAAAATCTGTCTGAATGCGTGTTGCGTTAATAAAAATGGAATTGTCTTTAGAGAATTCCATCTGCGTGGGAAATCCGTGATATTTGTAAAGAATATCGTGCCGGAATTAGACATCTTAATGAACACGATCAATGCATAAAAACCACGGTAAGCTCAAGATTTGAAAGAGAATGAATGAATTAGTTAATGTGCTGATGATTCTTTAAAAAAGACACCACTTCATGCCCACACCAACAAAGAAGAATCAGCGCTGAAACAGGATCCGGTTTTTCTAAAGTCATAATTACACCCTTATACCCTTGTTGTTGGTGCAGAAAAGATTTTAAAGGAGAGTGAGGAGAACACAGTGCCAGTGTTCTGACCATGCGTACGTTACCATTCAGATAGACGTTTCTATGCAAATATCCTGAAACTGCAACAACCACAACTGAGTGAGTTTGACCTAAGGGGATTCACAGCCTACAGACATCTCTGTGAAGAAACCCTAGTATTAACAGTAGCTCTCCACATCAATAAAGGCTTCCATTCTTTTTGATAATGATTAACCTTCAAATCAAAAACTTACCGGCCACCCGATTTGGTGCCTTATTTTCAGGGAGGTCGACTCAACACAGCAAATGTTACACCATGAAGTATATCAAGGTGTGGTCTTGACCATGGTAGCAACATCAAGGACACTAAACCCCATGTAGTAACTCTTTTTCTGGGATACCATCACAGTGGTAAAATACTTCAGTGCAAAATCCCTTCATTGCAGAATGCTGTACAATTTGAGCAAATGATTCTCAGCCGCTAATACCTGCAGACAGAACTCAAAATGGGGGAAACTATTTACAATTATAATTGTTAGCAACAACAGAAGCAAAGCACAGACTGTCCATCCTGAGTCACATAAGCACTGGTGTTTGAAAAGGGAGTCACCACTTTATGACAAACGAATGATGATATTCAGTTCTTGTTAAATGTTTTATCTGCTTTGATCAGGTAATGCATGAGCACTGTCTCGCACATACTCTTGTATATAATGACATTGAATACGACACAATTCTGAGCAGTCTGTTGGAGAAAACAATTAACTGTTTCCCCACCAAACAAATGCTATTCTTCTCGAGACCCTCTTTTCTGTGTTCGAGCTGGCATATGCAAATAAATGCAAATCTGATAGCAGTGGTGCAGTACTGACCAATCACTTCTGCCCTCGGTTTGACCAATAAATACAGCAATAATCCAGACATTTCTTAAAAGCAATATTTATTTTATAGTGTGTTTTGCCATATCTAGGAAAATAAAGAAAGAAATCTGACTGGGAACATTAAAAAGATTGCTAGATGGGCCCAATGACCTCCTCTCAATTGAAACCTTTCTTCAAGTGGATAGTATCCCAAGCTTCTGTCTGTACAAGAAGTTTTGACAATTATTTTGTAATCCTGTCTATCAAATTACGTTAATAAAGCTGTTCAGATAGGAGTCTTTGAGTATAATTTAACCTATGATAATGGACTTTTACAGGCTCCTAATATTCTATAGACACTTTTTGCAAGAAAACCCACCTTTTCTTGCAAAACAAAAAGAGTACGCTGTTGCAATTCAATGAAACAACCATCTCATTGCAAAGAACCTATTCAAACTCTTCCAAACTGGCTTCAGACAATTACATGGCACAGAAACCGCCGTGGTTAAAATTGCTAACAATCTTTTTAGGGCTGCTGATTCTGGTTCTCTGTCCTTATTCTCCTTGACCTCCGTGCTGCTTTTGACACTATTAATCATGACTTACTTTCACATCTTGAGACTGTGTTTGGAGTTTCTGTCATGGTCTTCAAAGGGAACTGCAATGTTATTTTTATATTTTCGGGTTAGAAAGAATCAGCATTGATGAGTGCATTTCAAACCACAATAAAAGTAAAATGTATATAGTAAAAAGTAACTTGTAAAACCTCCAATTTACATCACAAAACAGATTAAGTTTCCAGGTCTGCGCAGCACCACGTTCTGAGATTCAGAATGAGGCAACAGAACTTCTGGTGCCGTGAAGCAGCCTTGTTACATTGTAAACAAGCAGGCTTGTGAGCACATCTCTTTTAATCCAATAGAAACATTGCTTTGATTTTGAGACGGTTTTGCCAACAAACTCTACTTTTCAGATCACATTGGAATATTTCTGTGGTGAAATGTCTTCTGCACAACCTGTACATCACATTACATTAGTCGTTACAGTGACTAGTGAGCAGGAAGGGTCGTTTCACATGGCCATTCTCGTGAGCTCTCACTCTCGCCCATGGTGAGACCACGGGTTTGTCACAACATGGCGACTTACAGTATTTTCACAAAGTTTACAATTTTGTGCTTCATTCAAAATTCGTACAATCTTTCTGTAACGTCAATGGATTTATTTTGTTACCAAGGTTTTATAACTGGTCTGAGAAATTGGGACTGCAGTTCCCCTTTAAATGATTCAACTCTGTCTTTAATGTCAGCTCACACTTGGGGGTTTCAGTTCTGAAGCTGGGGTCACTAAGTCTGGTGTTCCTCAGGGCTCGACACCGGCTCCCCGTTATTCAGCATTCACACATCCCACAATTATTAAAATCACATGGTCTGAATGATCATTTCTATGGTGATGATACACAAATCTACATCCATTCTAAACAAGACACAGAAATGGCCCTTTTGTTGTGCCTTATGAAAGCCTGATCCGAATTCATTTACAGTCCACGAACAGGACCAAAACTGTCCTGTCCCAGATATCAGGCTGAGAAGGTCGAGGTGCACTTTAAAATGTCCCGAGTGCTATTAAGTACATAATTCACCCCCTTCAGCCCTTCCTACCACACGGGTGTGAACGCGTTTGCATGAACCACGTTTAATTTATGACAGATGGTTCTTGTGGAAAGCTCTAAGCATCAACAAAGAAAGACCCCACACACCCCAGCTACAGACTGTACGACCCTCTACCATCTGGAAAACAGCACCGGAGCATTCGGGCCCGGACTACCAGACTCAGAGACAGTTTTTACCCCCGCACTATCAAACTATTAAACTCCCAGCCTCTCTCACCTACGATCTGAACCTCACAGTGCCTTCTCTCTTTTTATACAATTGTTTTGTTGTTGTTGTTTTTTGTACTTCTTACCATCTGAGAGCTAGCTAAATAGCATTTCGTTATACCACATACCTGTATATGAGTATAATGACAATAAACTTGCACTTGAGCTTAAAGCAATTCTGCAACTTTTTCCCTTTCCTACTAATTTAGGCAGTAGGGGGCATAAGAAGCACTGGAGGAGGAGGTGATCGCTGAAAGGAAATGCTCAAGTACAGCAGCTCTTACCTGTATCTTCCAATGTGGACCGTTTACCTACAGGTGTGCGGACAGGCTGCAAAAAGAAGATTTGCGAGTGAGCTGACCCGTGACACGTCGTTGTGCAAAAAAGATTTTCTTCAGAGGAGTAGACAATTTATATTTGAAAGATTTACTTTCAAGAACGTGTTTTTTTTTTTGCAAACCCCATTAGCCGGACACTTCACTCGGGAAAGGATCGAGTTTCTTTGATTTCTAAACCGACTTTGTTCTGTCGTCCGTGAAGGGGGAAAAAGTCTTTTGAAGTTAGACTGGCATTAATGTCATTGTATGTGACCGCTGGAAAAAAACCCACTCTTTCTAGTGTAGTGCAAAAGGGCTTTTATTTAGCCATAAAAGACAAATATATTTGTTTTTACAAATTATTTCAGATTTGAAATTACTCTTTTTTACACATTTTATTACAAAAATAATTCGTCTGCGACTTATTTACTCTATTCATTATCAAAAACAGGGCACCGTGTTAAGGCACTTATATCATTACTATAACATGGCATTTTTAAACGAGATCAACAAAACTGTTTATTATTTTGGCTGTTATTGATATACGGATACACGTTTAAAAAAACTGCATAAGCAAAAATGAAACAATAATTACTGACATTTCTACAGTATGCATTTACACAGAATTAAAGGGCTCCATTCACAGCTGTAAAGGAAAAGCTTATATTTAGAAGTGAGATCACAGAAGTGCTGGAGAATCATATCACTTCAAAGAATAATTACACTGATGCTCCATTATCCCCACAATCTGACTTCTGTCAATTTCCGTCATATGGTTCATTTCTGTGTCATTGAATTATAAATGGTCAGGTATCTCGGAAATTAAAACAAGTATTTATTTCAGCGAAGAAAAAAGACGTGTGATAATTTTCAACCATGTCCAACAACATAAAATTGCTTTTGACTAGAGACACATGGGGGGGGTTATCACACTTTTTAACGCAAAGCAAGGCGTTTCGATATCGCACGAGTGTCCTCATCAACACTCCTAGAAACCAGCCCCTTGCTCTTCTGATCTCTCCCTCCTCCCACACAGATCCCGAATTCTATAACAATCGCACGGAAGGGATTTCTTACAATGGGAGCGATTGTTTGAGACCTGTCAGAAAGAGCCTTTATATCCACTTCTGAGTTTAAAGCTGCTGGTAGCAATGGACTGATTTTAATAGGCCAAAGCCACTCCTGTTATTTACGTACAGATGTTAAAATTTATAGCCCGGGCTTCCTCCTCACCCTGTCACTTCTGGCACAGATGTTTCACCTGAAGCAACTGACATGCAACCCCCACACCCTCCCGTCTTCCAGTAAAAATACTGCCACCCACAAGCGAGAGGGCAGTAAATCCCTTGAACACGGTTAAGAAAAACGACGACAGGAGAACCTGACCCCCAACTCAGAAGAAACCCATGGTGTGGAAGCAAGAGGGCAGTAATGGGGATACCGCCTCGCACCACCCCACACCTGGACGGCGGGTCTACATGCTTTAGTTTATTAGCCCATTCGACAACCCCCCAGTAATAATATGAATGTATCGTCCCCCCCCCCCCCAGTTTCTAACTCGTACGGGCACAGGCGTACGTCCGGCGGAGGAATCCCACACTTCACCCACTGTGCACCGCGGTCACAGTGTCCCTCCGCTGAAACTAGATCCCTCGCCCTGGCAGAAGTGTGTCCTGGCCAAAATTTCCCATTGACACTTATCAATCATGGCCTCCTAATAATCCCCATCTATGAATTGGCTTCATTACGCTGCTCTCCTCCCCACTGATAGCTGATGTGTGGGGGGCGTTCTGGCGCACTATGGCTGCCGTTGCATCATCCAGGTGGGACTGCACACTGGTGGTGCAGAGGATCCCCATTACATGTAAAGCGCTTTGAGTGGAGTGCCCAGAAAAGCGCTATATAAGTGTAAGCAATTATTATAAATTATTATTATTAAAGGTTATCTGTATGGGATGCAGGTAGTTGAAGTTTTCGGAACGCCTATGAAAAAAAACAGGTCTCTAACCTTCAGCTTTACAAGCACAGTACCTGGAAAATAATGACTCATAAGGTGCTCCAATATTGCAATCGGCAAGTTATCTTTCTCCCTCCCTTCCTGTTTAGCGGCCCTGCTGCGACCCTAGCCGCTGGGCGCCGGCCCCAGATGACTCGAGCTGGCTGTGGGGCCGGGCAGCACCGCTCCGAGACTGGCGACTGGGCCCTGATGCCAGCTGGCGGCGCGGCGCGGCGAGGCGAGGCGAGGCGAGGCGACACTGCTCGGAGGACAGGTAGCGCAGGTAAACAGGAACGCCCTTGTTCCTTCCGTGTTTCACGGGCTCAGCCGCAGGCGGGACGAGAGCCTTCCTGAACACAGCAGCTCCACCCCGCTTCGCAAGTGGAGCTCCGACATGGACCCTCTCAGACTGCCCCTACTTTCAACAGTCCCGGGGGACTCCTTCAACAGCGCCTTTACACAGAAAGCAGTTATTCTCAGTCTCGGGTTATGAAGGCCTTATCCTTCTATTCACGGCCAACAGCTTTCACCCTAGGGGCAAATCAGCAATAGGTCCTTCTTACACAGACTCAAAAGTCTGTGAAGCACCATCATATGAAACTTTTCAAATTAAATATGTATATATATCCTTCAGAAGGACAGTATTAAGCTGCAAATATAAGGGATTGCTGACAATTAGGCAGGTATACACCCTGACAGCAATGTACAGACATTGTGTTGAACTGCTCTGAGGTCAGAATACAACGTGTGAGGTTCATGGCCAGGCTGTTCGGCAACAAGATGAATATTTTCAGTTTTAAAAGGCAAACCCCGGCCCTCCTCCTAATTCTCCTGCAAGGCCTGATCTATGAGACACATGCAGAATACCATGAACATGAGTGAGACTATGAGCAACAATTCCTTGTAAACATACACCCATCCTTTAAAAAAAAAAAGATTAATCATCGATCATTTTATTCTGTTTGAAAATAAATAGAACCTGCAGTCCAGAGAGAAATAAGGCAACCTGGCTTTGTGATAAACGGGAAATCAAATAAGAAAAAGGAAAATCAAAGATATAGGGAAATGGATCACTCCCAAAATGCAGGAACTCTGAGCAAACATTTCCCTGTTTAGTCGCAACGCTGGTTTGCCTGCTTGGTCTTGTGACTGTCCCAGAATACTCCAGTTATCCAGTGCAGTCAACACACTTCAGGAGCTGCAGGATTGAGCTTCTTTCCACTCTTCAGGCACGTTTCCAGGGCTGTTGCTCTGTAGGTGGTCAGCAACCCACAGTTCAAGAGGCACCTTAGAACCCGTGCCGGCAGATCCCGCTGCTCATCCCTCCTCAGTGGCAGGGCTGCAACGTCACTCATCTGGCCATAAAAATTCCTGCGCGGCTCTGTGGGTCTGTGGCAGCTCGCAGGCTGGAGAGCAGACTCGTGTCAAGCCTGGGGGAGAAAGGGCTGCTTCCCGGGCACCGCGGGGGGCTCTCAGCCTGGGGAAGAGGCCGCGCCAGCGCTGAGGGGGTCCTGGAGCAGCAGCGTGCCCCGGCTGGGTTTCAGCACGTCCTCACTACATCGATCCGCCCACCCCGCCCCCAAAAAAAGAGGGGGCGATCCTCCGAATGTCTCGTGGGCCATGAGAGCTCGGGTCTCTGCTCCTTGGGGGGGGGGGGTCACTCGTGACGCCAGCCCCCAGCCCCCCCCAGCCGACGCCGTTCCGGTTTCCCCCGGCAAAACATCACATCCGGCTCCGAGACGCCGAGGTTATCGTTTCCTCTCGTAAACCCCCTGCCGACCCCGGCAAGAGAAAAATCGGGTACCGCTGCACAATAAAACCATCTTCCATCTTCCATTTATTTTTCTTTAAATAGGGCATAAAAGTAAATCTGGAGAGAGGCGCTCGGAGAGACGGGAGCCCGCCGGCTCTAGCCGTCCTCCTCCCAGAGGCAGAGCTGCTTCTGGGGCACGTAGAAGTCGAAGCGGTAGCCCTTGCTGCAGCTGCGGATGCCGCACTTGTAGGGCGCGGCCCTGCCCGCGGCGTCGCGCCCGCGGCAGTACTTGAGCAGGCAGGGGTACCACTCCAGGCGCAGGCTGTAGCTGCAGGCGCAGGGCTGCCACAG